CCGACGAGGCCACACTTACTAACACTGCCACTACTTATGGGCCCATCGGGCCATTTTTATTCAGCCACCACAGATAGCATATCATAAGATTGGATAAGAAGACCAAGAACCTGTGTAGAGATGAACAAAGCCAAGGACTGAGCTCGGGGGCACCGACTGTGTCTGGACATTAGCAGGACCCAGGAAGGGATGAAAATGAACAGCCAGTCAGCGAAGGTGGAGGACAGGAGAATCCTGTATCTCAATGCAGAACAAGTGAAATAGTTCATAAACGAGACTGTCTTTACCTTGCTATTCCAGAGACCTAGGTGGACACTTCGTGTCTTTTCACTTGTCAACATGATTCATAACAATAAATTGACTAAGCACAGCCCGTTCAGTGGCAGCAGTTTGCCAGACAACACTATCTGGTTTTGGTCATCTGGTTGAGGCTAATATATGGTTTTGTTTTTTCTAGACAGAGTTTCTCTGTGTATCTCTGCCTGTCCTAGGACTCACTCTGTAGACCAGGCTAGCATCAAATTCACAGAGATCCTCCTCCCTCTGCCTCCCAAGTGCTGGGATCAAAGGTGTGTAGCACTGCCAGCCTGGCTGTTCTATTCTAATCTTAATCATCCATATTGACTTTCACCTCATACTGGTACACAATAAATATCCCTTGTGTGTGTATATATATGTGGTTTGCAGAATGACTACAAGTTTTAAAGTTGTGCTAATAGAAATGCAAATGGAGTCTGTATTAATAAAGACAAAGGAACCCAACCCGGCTGCCCAGATAGAGCTGTTGCTGAGGAGAGTTGGTTGAAATCTAAGACTGAATCAGCTATACCTAGATTGAGGCAAGAACTGCAAATCTAGGTCCAAATGGGCCATCGGGTGGACCAGTGAATATAGGCCTCCTCCACAAAGGGGAGCAGAAAAGAATGTACAGCCTAAAGGCAGGAGAAAGGGGACTGATTGTAGGAGCTACGTTCCTTAGCAGGTTTGGGGACAGCATTCAGGTGTTCTCTAGAGGACAAACCACCTGATTTCCTCGGGAAAAAACAAACTATGAGCAATCTACAAAACAGACAAATCAACCAATTGAAATGTATGGCTGGCAATTAGATCTAATTCTTTTTTTTTTTTTTTTTTTTTTTTTGGTTTTTTTTTTGGTTTTTAGAGACAGGGTTTCTCTGTGGCTTTGGAGCCTATCCTGGAACTAGCTCTGTAGACCAGGCTGGTCTCGAACTCACAGAGATCCGCCTGCCTCTGCCTCCCGAGTGCTGGGATTAAAGGTGTGCGCCACCATCGCCCAGCCTAGATCTAATTCTTAAAAAAAGAAAATAAATCCTATGATAGGGTGTTTGATGATGCTCGTGGTTTTCTAAATGTGTGTCTGATAGTGATTTTACATTCTGTGCATATGCATGCATATATCCATGTATAATTACATTTTAAGACATATTCAGGGCATGGGGCAGAGAGCTGCAGAACCAACTTCCTGTGTAGGGTGAGGGCTGTCTCTGCCCTGTTAAGGCAGCAGGCCTGGGAAGCGACAGTTGAGGATTGGGTGGGTGGGAGGTAGTTAGGTAGGTTAAAATTTATTAAAAATAAAACAAAACAAAAAATAAAAGAAATATCCATTGCTGAGAAAAATGAAAGCAAATTTATTGTGATTTGGTGATGAAAAATTATGCTTTATAAAGTTAGTAATTAGAACATATTTATCCTATTTTCTAGACTATTATGGAAATAATTAATTTTAATGTCCATGTATAAATAAGAACAATACTACTAACCCAATAAAATTTTCCAGAAAACTTAAGCATTTCTTGGAGAAGCAATATGTATGATATTTTGCAAATACTAGATATTGTATGATTCCACAAGCTTTCTAGTTATGTTAGCATAACAATTTTTAGAAAACAACTGTCACCTGAAATTGAGCATTTACATGTACTGTAATCGGAAATTCAAGTCATCAGTATTTATCAAGAGAAAGATTGTACCTTGTACAAAAGTGTTCAAGCAGCATACAGAATTGTAGAAATAGGCTCAGTAGTCTGTGGTAGAGAGATGAATAAGGGACTCTGGTAATAGAAGGATAGGTAAACAAATATGGTGGATATTATATACTAGTCATAGCACACAACTGTAGCACACAGCAATATTGACTGATTCTCAAACAAGTTCCCCAACATTACATGATAATACCATTTTAAATCTAAAACCATTAAGATAGATACAAGAATATGAATCACTATTAAATAGAAACATAAACATGTATGTATATTTTGATATAGCAAAATAAAACTAAAAAGAAAGCAAGAGAAGGCTGCACAGGGTTTAGGACAGTGACTCTCTTGGGGAAGGGCAAGGGGAAGTAGGGAGGAGCTCTCTGTGGTTATATGGGAGAGATTGGCAAGGCCCTGCCTTACTGTCTGGATGATGGTTTTGTATTACTTATTGGGCTTTTATTGAAAACAGCAATCAGCAAAAGAAAAAGCCATTCATAAACCAAAGAAAATGAGTGTCAACAGTCCAAGATAATGATTACTACATTTTATACAACTGAGTTAAAATTGATGAAAATCTTACTCTATATAACGTGACAATATAAATAATATTTTAAAATCTTAATAGATATGACCACCAAACAAGGATGTGCATTAATGCTGATTTTTGGGTCACTCCAGAAAGATTACTTTTTTCCTTGAGTCATATATGCTACTTTGTGTGTTTATTGCATAAAAATGCATGTATTCTTACCAGCTGGCCATTGCTTAGGGATTGTCTGGATAATTGCTTTTTCCTTCCATAATTAATAATGCTTCTGAAAAATTTCCTAAAGCACAGTATTTTGCATTTCTGTTACATTAAAAGACTGCTGTTATATGTGAATGACTAGTTGTCATTATATTTCTTAAAATATTTTTATAATTATTAGAAGTTACCTTTTAATCTATCAATTTGCCTTTCCTGCCAATTCTCAAATATGAAGCTGTTTTCCTAGGGCTCTTTCCAGAAATTGTTACTCGTTGTTAATTAAAATTTTATTGGTTGAAATTTTGCATTTTTTAAACTTTTAGATTATTCTAGTATTGATCCAAATTACTTATATTTTAAAATAATTTATACATTAATTTAAATAGTTTGTAAGTACTTTGCCAGATGCAAACTCATTAATCCAATTATCATCATTATAAACCATCCAATTACAAACTGATAGGTATGTGTTGTAAAGCATAGGTAAAGATGTTCTTGCAAGCAAATTGCCACCGGAAGGTGGCCTGTAAGCTAAATCCCAAAGGATGTCTGAAGGGAAGGTACTAAATGGAGGCACACCAGTAGAACTAGCCTGTATAAAGAAGCTGGAGTGGGATAGTAGAGCATGATTAATAAAAAGTAGTGGGGCCACAATTGTGGGAACTGTATTTGAGAAATAACAGAGGGGGCCTGGTTAATTGGAACCTTAAGAGAGATAGAAAACTTCTGGCCCTGAAGCTCAGATGTGTGTCTGAAGAGAATCCTCATTCGGTGCCTAACTGCAGCTAGATTGCAAGTTCCCCCAAGAGAGGATCTGACTGCTCCTAGTCTCACACAGGGACAGAACAAGGAAGTATTGAGTAAGTTAAAGAGTCCTTATTTGGTTGGCTATGCCTGGCACATAGGGAGGGCTCAGCCATGGTAGCTAGTTTTCGTCCTATAATTTGGTGTGATGGCGTATGCTGTGGAGTTAGAGGCTTCATGAGATAATTCAGCCCAGCAGTATCCTGTGAAGATTTGTGGTATATTCCAAAGGACCTGCAGCTAAGATTATTTGATTTCATCATTTCATTCCTGCCTCATCCAGAATGGATAAGCACAAATGTGATTGGTAACAATAATAAGATCAGAAAAAATGAGTTCGATAACAGTAGATGCTTTCACCTACTCTACCCGGTTTGTTTGATCACTTTGATGCCTGTCAAAGTAGCCTTCTTCAACCTATTTCTTTTAGAGTTCCTAAATAAAATTATCTTTCCACAGTTTGTGTAGTCTCAACTTTATTTCTGTTATGGTCATTTGCTTTACATTTGTGTCTTTGAAGACTGAAGATTACCATTAGAAGTGTTTTCCAGGCCAGATAATGATGTGGGAGTGTCATATCAATCTGTTGATTTCATTGGCTGAGCAATAAAAGAAACTGCTTGGCTGGCCCTGATAGGTTAGAACATAGATGGGAGGAGTAAACAGAATAGAATTCTGGGCGGAAGAGGAAGTGAGGTCAGACTCTGCTCTGCTCCCGGACAGGATGGATGGAGGCTTGAATCTTCCCGGTAAGCGCACCTTGGGGTGCTTACACAGATGATTAGAAATGGGCTAGTCCAGGTGCGAGAATTAACCTGTAAGGGCTAGAGTTCATGGGCCAAGCAGTTCTTAAATGAATACAGTTTGTGTGTTGTTATTTCGGGCATGAGCTAGCCAAGCGGCCGGGGTGTTGGGGACGCAGCCCTGCCGCCGCCCGTATTTCAACAAGATAAGGTGATATATACCTATAATTCCAGAATGTGGGAGCCAAGGTAGGAAGATAATGAGTTTGAGGCAAGCCTAGATTCTATATGATGAGCATATATCTCTAGGACAAAAAAACCCAGGACAGAAATATTTGCCGTGGGATAATCCTCTTGTACACTGTGAAGATTCGTCACTCATCTGTTTAATGAACTTTTTTCATGTGGTTAATTTACACACGATGTATTTTCTCTTAGTAAGATCTCTTGTAAAGATTTCAAAGATAACAGCAGTCTGAAAAGCAGAAATCTGAAGGGAAGTCTACAAGTCTCAGGAAGTCAGATACTTTTATAATGTTCTTCCATGCTATGGTTCTCAGATTAGTTGGTAATCATTGTAAATCTGTTGCCATTCTACAGTATTATACAATATTGGAATATGAAATTGTAGCAAGAATAGTAGATGAGGTTGATTGTTGTGGAAGCACAGCCTTGTATTAACATCCTTTTTTCTTTGTGAAAAAGATATCAGGTGATCAGCACCCCAACAGACTTTTTTATGGTGATGGAATATGTGTCTGGAGGTGAATTATTCGACTACATCTGTAAACATGGGCGGGTGAGTACTGTATTAACAACCCCCAGCCCCGAGCTAAGAAAGGGGAAAGCTTTGCAAGCCAACCACAAAGATAATTTTCAGTGCTTTAAATTGTTTCTGTAATAATGTCAACTGCACATGCAGAACATATTTTCTTTCTCCAGAGGCAGCCTTTTGAGATACAGATTTGGAAACCATATCCCACTTAATCGCCAAAAGATTCTTGTGCTTTTCCCAGTCTGTTCTGCATAAAATCATGCTGAAGCTTCAGTTATTTCCTTTTCTTAGCATTTTCATTTAAGTTCTGTTTTAGCTGGTTTTATTGATTCCCTAAAACACTGTGCATATTTAATATTAGCTGAAAATTAGACATCGTTGCCATTCAGCAAAGCCAAACCTATCGAATAATATTTTGAGCTTTGACAAAGTTTTGGCTGGTTTGCTTTGTCTGATTTGTTGGATTTCTAACTAGTCAATTCTAAATTAGCCTGCTTAGTTATATTTAGACTGGTTATGAAACTGAATGCATAATAAATAGATGTCCTAGATAGTCTTGATGCAGTTTCTTTTCTATGTGCTAGGTTGAAGAGGTGGAAGCCCGGCGGCTCTTTCAGCAGATCCTGTCTGCTGTGGATTACTGTCACAGGCATATGGTTGTCCATCGGGATCTGAAACCAGAAAATGTGCTTCTGGATGCTCAGATGAATGCTAAGATTGCTGACTTTGGTATGCTACTCTATGGTTGCTCAGAGCTGTGTAGTACCTTTAAAATGGACCAGTAACTCCTCTTACAGAGCTAAGAACTTTCCGTTTCACTCACACAAATTCTGTTACACAAAAAGGGATTAATTACAGTCTTTACTCTGGCTTATCTCTTTATTTAAATCCACATGAAAAGTGCTGAGGTTTCTACAACACATTAGAAGGCCACATCAAGACAGATCTTTCTTCCTAATGAATGATACCTGTTTTGTTTTTTGGGTTTTCTTTAGCGTGGGGGAGCAGCTGGGATGAGAAAGGAGTCCCAAACTTCTTTGAAACTTTGTTGATATAGTGGCCGCTTTCCCTGATGTTTATAAACAAATGTGAAAATTTGTATTCAGCCGTAAAATCTTGGTGCTCCTTCTGAACTGATCATGGAAAGACCTGTAAATCTTAGGATAGCATCTAATAACTTATGAGAGATTGGGACTTTGGTCCTCGTAAAAGACAAGGTAAAATATATGTTTTTATACTCCTTATACTAAACAGACCCAGAAAGGCTTCCACAGTAGATGTTTGAGGAAAAGATTGTGATCTGACCCTAAGAAGAAAGGGAGAGGAGGTGCAAAGTCAGTGTTCCATATTATATATAGGCTTTCTGTTTGTTTTATACCTGCAGTTAAACTAGCCTCACTATTTCGGTTCAAACTCTTCTAGTAAGTAGTTCAGCTAGAGTTTGGCTCAGTAGATTATTTCTGCTGTGTTGAACCAGAGCTCTTTAGATTATAAAACTTTTCCAGGAAGTTGAAGCAGGAGGCCCTCCTAACTGCTTGTGCTCAGCCCCACCTGAACAGCAATGAGACCCTGTCTCCAGGGAAACAGCCTGCTTATCAGCTGGAGCTGCTCTGCTGTCTAATTGAGAGAGAGAGAGAGAGAGAGAGAGAGAGAGAGAGAGAGGGAGGGAGGGAGGGAGGGAGGGAGGGAGGGAGGGAGGAAGAGAGAGAGGGAGAGACTTTCACTGTGTGTGTCTCTCTGGCTGGTCAGGAACTTATTACTCTTGTAGAGCAGGCTGGCTTCAAACTCACAGAGATCCACCTGCCTCTGCCTCCTGAGCACTGGAATTAAACATGTAGTGCCCAATTACAGCCTTTCAGGGAAGACTTTTAGAAGCACTGTTTTTTGTTTGCTTTAATTAGCAGTCTTTTATTTCTTCATATATAGATGTAGATAATATTTGTTGCTTACATTTTTGAAAATGGTAAGATAATGTCAAATAACCTTTTTGTGAAGAGTCAGAATTTTCATGTAGTGAGGTTTATTTCACTTATTACATGTGGTGCTTTTTTTCTTTTCTGTGTGATGATGTAAGTTCCATAAAATAATCTCTCTCTAGTCTAACAGTACTTTCTGTTACTTTAAAAATTAGTGTGTGTATGTGTGTGTATGTGTATGTATGTGTGTGTGTGTATGTGTGTGTATGCAATCCAGAAATTGAACTCAGGTTGTCAGCTTTGCTCAAGCGTCTTGGCCTACTGAGCTCTCTTGCCTCTCACCTTTGCTCTAAAATAAAGAAGATTTCTGAAGCATGGTTTTCATCACAGTTTTAACTATGTCTTCAGTATCCAGCATCTGATAAATTGCTTTTCTTTTCAGGATTATCTAATATGATGTCAGATGGTGAGTTTCTGCGAACCAGCTGTGGATCGCCAAATTATGCAGCACCTGAAGTCATCTCAGGAAGGTAATAGCTTATTAGTGATAAGTAAGCTTTCTGTGACCTTGCATCCATTCTGATAGCATATACTTATATTTTCTTAGGAAGAAGATTTTTAACAGAGTAGAAATAAGTTGTTCATTTATTTTTTATTGTAGGCATAATAGTAATATATGTATTTTTAAAAACTCCATGTAGGTATTGTAATGTGTTCCTGCATCTTGTTCAGTGTCAGTGACTGAGACTCTGATGCAGTGTCTATATTCTAATGTAGAAAATGTCAAGGAGCAGTAGGGTTTGCTAAAATTTAAGCCAGTGTCTTTGCTTAATAGACATAGTTATTTAATAGCATTTCCACATACTTTACAGAGTCTGAAGGTGGTTGCTTTATATTTCTTCCTTTGGAAGAATGAAATTTGGGTGATGTTAATGAAATTAGTATGATGTTAAGCAGTTAAACTAGACAAATGACTTTGAAGTCCCTCATGTAATTAGCTCATTGGTATATTATAAAATATTTACGGAGGCTGTAGAGATGAATCAAGCCATTCCATAGTGGCTGGTGTCCAGTTTTGAACGTTAACAGACTACTTTGAGAGAAAGTATTGAAGCAGTGCTTACAGGTAGCCGCTGTGAGTCTTAGTTCATTAGATCAGACCGTACACCTTGCCATAGAAACGAGCGTGCCACAGGACTGGGTGTGTGTAGAGCCTGCTCCTCACAGCCACTGTGGTCACGGGAATGGGGTCTCTCTAGGGTAGTCTTTTATAAGGGCACTGACCTTCTTTGTGAGAGTTCCACCTCAAGGCCAGATCTCCTTATGATCTTTACCTCCTCGGACTGTGGGTTTGAGGTGAGAATTTCAGCTGGTGGGTTTTAGGGAATACAGTGTTTTATGAGCGCTTAGGTGAAACAGCTAATGATGTAAATTAGGGACATCCTCTACTGAAGCAGATGGTGTGCTTTCCATGGAACTGAGGAAATGTGTCACCTCAGACCCACATGCTACTGGGGAATGGCAGGATGGTAGAAAGGTAAGAGAAATAGTGAGGGGTGTGTGTGTGTGCAGACGTGGGTCATCTAGAGCCAAACTGTCTTAGTCCAGCCAGTTAGCAGATGGTTTGAAAGGAAGTAGTCGGAGCTCTGTCGTATGGGGCCTGGGCAGATGGCTCAGTGCTTAGGAGCACTTGTTCCTCTTCAGAGGACCCATGTTTGATTTCAGGTACTCACATCAGTGCTTGAAACTGCCTGTAACTCCCATTCTGGGGACTCTGACACCCTCTTCTGGCTGCTGCAAATATCAGACACACAAATACCACACAGACACACATGCAATCAACACACTCATATAAATAAAATTTAATAATATTTTTTTAGAAAAGTTAATGTTATATATAAGTTAAACACTGTCAGTATGCTACCAGTTAAATATTTCAATGTCTCAGATTTTGTTTGGTGTGGACTAGGTGCAAAAATTTTGTCTAGTATGCATTTTCTTTTTTGAAATAGTTCTGAGGGGGAAAACACTGTATATATTATTGTATTTTTTCTAGTTTTGGTTATCCACTGTTATGTTTACTTAAAGAAATGAAAGAGAAAGTGTAATTTATTTTTGTTAGTTGTTTTTTTTTGTTTTTTTTTAAAAGGTTTTTTTTTTCAAATATTTATTTATTATGTATACAATATTCTGTGTGTATGCCTGAAGGCCAGAAGAGGGCGCCATACCTCTTTACAGATGGTTGTGAGCCACCATGTGGTTGCTGGGAATTGAACTCAGGACCTCTGGAAGAGCAGGCAATGCTCTTAACCACTGAGCCATCTCTCCAGCCCAGTTGGTTTGTTTTTGAGACAGAGTCTTACGCTAAATGGTTTGGGACTCTCTAGACCAGTCTGGCCTTGAACTCACAGAAATCCACTTGCAACCACCTCCCAGTTGCTGGGATTAAAGGTGCGTGCCATCACGTCTGGCCTGAAAATCTAATAAATTTTAATTAGCACTTATAATTAATTTCTAACAAATAAAAATAAGTCTGGCAAATTTTAGTAACTAATTAGGCTCATTATTTTCTATGAAGAGTAATTATTGAGGTTTGGGAATTGCTGTGTATTTCATTGAAAACCTTAAATAGCAGTATATACCAAGTTGGTTTGCATTTTGCATGTATGGAAGCAGGACATTAACAATGGGGGGAATTGGTGCCTACACTGAGGCTTGTGTCATCCTTTCTCAGGCTGTATGCGGGTCCTGAGGTTGATATCTGGAGCTGTGGCGTTATCCTGTATGCCCTTCTCTGTGGCACCCTCCCCTTCGACGATGAGCACGTGCCTACACTCTTTAAGAAGATCCGAGGGGGTGTGTTTTATATCCCGGAATATCTCAACCGCTCTGTTGCCACTCTGCTGATGCACATGCTACAGGTGGACCCCTTGAAGCGAGCAACTATCAAGGACATCCGGTGATTATACTGTCTGCAGTTCTGTATATTTCCTTATTGTAGTAACAGTGATACTAGAATATTTGCTTCACCTATGCTTCATGACACTTTATCTTATGAGAATTTTAAGGCCAGATGTGTGGTATGTGCTTGTCATCCCAGCATTTACCTAGGAGGATGAGGCAGGAGGATCTCAAGTTCAAGGCTGGCATAGACTACAATGTGAGACCCTGTCTCAAAGGAAAAGCATTTTTAGTATTTGAATTTATTATGCAAACGTGATTATGTCACTTATCTTTAAAATATTTTACATTGCTTTTGTGCTTATTAGCATAGTAACAAAGCATCTAAGGCCTGTATAGGAAGGATGCAGTCTCCTAGAGTCTCATTCCTTCCCCACTGTATCCTTCCCATTAGACTTTAGGGCCTGCACCCTTCGTTAGATTGTTTTGTATCCTGATTCTTTTCTGCATCTTCTGACCTGATAGCATTCCAGTCCTCTTTCATGTTCTGCTCGCACGCCACCAGCTTAGTGAAATCATTTCTGGTTCCCCACACTGTACAGAGCTTCTGGTTGTTCAGCACATGCCTGAACACGTGCCTTGTCCCCCTTTTCTCATACTGTGTCTGTCCTGTCTCAGCCTATCGCCTCTCTTGCATTATAACTATCGGGGTACAAATTGTCTTAAGATGTAGGTGGAGGCAGCTTGTTTGTTTCCGGCTGCCCAGACCACAAAATAATCACTCAGAAACTATATTATTTTTAATACTATTTGGCCAATAAGTTGAGCGTATTACTAGCTAGCTCTTACATCTAGAAGTAACCCATTTCTATTATTTTATATTTTACCACGAGGCTCATGGCCTACCTGCAAGGTTCCAGCTGGCAGCTTGTGTCTTTCCCCTCTGGCGGCTACATGGCATCTCACTGACTCCGCCTACTCTCTCTCTATATATCTCTTTCAGCCTGGCTTTACTCTGTTAAGCCATTGGCCAAAAGCAGCTTCTTTATTAACCAATGGCAGTAGACATATTCCCAGCATGCATCACTTCCCACATCATTAAGAACCTTCTATTCACCTGCTACTTTGCTACTGTTGCTGAGAGTAGAACTTCAAGAGGGATCTGAAGATTCAGTTGTGAAAATTGGACAGCTTTGTGTTTTAGATATGGTTGATGAAGTAAAGGATTGCCTTTTTAAATCCTTACCATTATAAAACTGGCTTACCTTCTTTTAAATTTATAGTATCTAGTACAATGAAAATGCTATATAAATACAGAAGCATGAGACATGTTTGAATATGTTCAATTCAGATGCATGCCTTCTCTTTCACCCCTCCCCCACTTTTCTACATCCCCCGCCTTCACTTTTTCACTGTACCCTTCTGCCCCCATATTTCCCCCTGCCCCTTTTATGTTTCAGATGTTTGGTTTCCATCCCCACCTTTCTTTTGTCTCACAGGCCCCTTTCTGTTTCCTGGCTTCTAACCACACTATCATTTAGAAGTTAGAATCTTAGTAGGAGAGGACATGGAGTTTTTGTCTTTCTGAGCTTCACTTAATGGTTACCTTCCTACGTTTATTTAAGAATATAAGTTTTGTTAAGTTTTTGATCCAGTGGTCACTAGTGGATTTACTGTGGAGAATCCCTTGATTGTCGAGGGATTGGAGTAGCATACTGGCAGAAGTGATGTAGTGCCTCTACATGTTATGTGTGAATTTAGAGGAATGACGTGATGCCTCTACATGTTATGTGTGATTTTAGAGGAATGACGTGATGCCGCTACATGTTATGTGTGAATTTAGAGGGATGACGTGATGCCGCTACATGTTATGTGTGATTTTGAGGGATGACGTGATGCCGCTACATGTTATGTGTGATTTTGAGGGATGACGTGATGCCGCTACATGTTATGTGTGATTTTTAGAGGGATGACGTGATGCCTCTACATGTTATGTGTGATTTTAGAGGGATGACGTGATGCTTCTACATGTTATGTGTGATTTTAGAGGAATGATGTGATATGCATCTACATGTCATGTATGTTTTTAGAGAGCTTTTATTTTTATCTTAGGTTCCAAAGGTTGTTTAAGAAGCACATTCTTCTGGCATCTTTCAGAATCTTTCCCCTTTCCCCCAGAGCCAGAATAAGTGTTTTGATATGCGTATCCTGTGGAGCATTGGGGGGGGGGGGGGGGGGGGGGGGGGGGGCTGAAGTGGTGGTTTTTGCTGGCTGCTGCAGTTCTCTTGTAAGCAAGGACTTATACATTTAGGTATCTCTTTCCTCCTGGCAAGAAACAGCTTAAGGGAGGAAGGATTTAATTTGGTTCAATGCTTGGGGAGATGTAGTCCATTATGGTGATAAAGGCATCGCTGCAGGCATGGGGAATGCCATGTGTCTGCAGTCAGGAAGCAGAGTCAATAGGAATGTGCTGGGCTTTGAGGCCTATCCCAGTGACCTCCTTTGTTAATTGGAGCTCTACCTCCTAACAGATTTCACAGCCTTCCTAAGCAGCAGCACTAGCTGAGAGTCACACGTCCTAATGCCAGCACTTGTGGGGGGCATCCCGCACTCAGATTACAGCGTTGTTTACTTTCCTGGCCTGTTCCAGTGTCCAGGCCTTGTGCACACGAATGTACACCCGTAGAATTGCTACCAGATTCAGTTATAGCTAGGATAAGTGTATACCACCAAGGCTAATAGTAATCTCTCTATGCACTTTTATAAATGTTCTCAGTGTCAAGTTTAATCAAATTATCAATCTAATTCTCAATTAGATTCTTCGTTTAGTCTTGCAGTTTTGTTTATTTTGGGTTTTTCAAGACAGGGTTTCTCTGCGTAACAGCCCTGGCTGTCTTGGAAGTTACTTTATAGACCAGGCTGGCCTCAAACTCACAGAGATTCACCCATCTCTGCCTCCCAAGTGCTGGGACTAAAGATGTTCATCACCATCACCAGGCTAATTTTGCAATATTTTATGTTAGTTGAAGTTCTTGAGGAAAATCTGAACTCAGGTAAGTGCCTGAAAAATAAGAGTACTTAATAGCCATCAGATAATAGTAATATTCTTTGATACTAAAACAAAGCTTAACCTGCCAGCTTATAGTTTGCAATATCAAGTGAGAAAAAAAATCAGTTAACTTCTGTACTTTATCACACTATAGGGATATAATGTTTTACACTTTAAGTGATTCTTATATGTCTGCATACTTCTGTCATCATTGAGAGATCTTGCATTATTGAAGTATACAGATTTTTTACATTTCATTTTACACTATCAGAAATCATATTCATTATTATCAATACTAACTTCATCAGAACATCTTTAGGTCTTGAGAAACCATCAAACCCCAGGAGGCAGGCATAGGTACTACACAGCATCTGGAATTTTGATTGGGAACTCAGATTTTATCATTGACCATAAATGTTGCTGGTTGTTTTCCTTGAAGTGACAGACCCACTTTGTTCATTTTCAAGGAAATATTCCAAGTCTGAATGTCTGTATTTATTTAAGGCTAGAGATGAATTAACTGGCCCCAGGGTCACATAGGCAATAGCAGCAGAAGTGGAGCTGGAGACCAGGGTTTTGGAGTATTTGTGTTATATTGCCCCATGTCTAAATTATTCGGGACTTACTAAAGCATGTTCTTACAATAGTGTATATGGTGTTTTTCCTAGAGAACATGAATGGTTTAAACAGGATTTGCCCAGTTATCTATTTCCTGAAGACCCCTCCTATGATGCTAACGTCATTGATGATGAGGCTGTGAAAGAAGTATGTGAAAAATTTGAGTGTACAGAATCAGAAGTAATGAACAGTTTATATAGTGGTGACCCTCAAGACCAGCTTGCGGTGGCTTATCATCTTATCATTGACAATCGGAGAATAATGAACCAAGCCAGTGAGTTCTACCTCGCCTCTAGTCCTCCAACTGGTTCTTTTATGGATGACAGTGCCATGCATATTCCCCCAGGCCTGAAACCACATCCTGAGAGGATGCCACCTCTTATCGCAGACAGCCCCAAAGCACGGTGTCCTTTGGATGCACTGAACACAACTAAGCCCAAATCCTTAGCTGTGAAAAAAGCCAAGTGGCATCTTGGAATCCGAAGCCAGAGCAAACCATATGATATTATGGCTGAAGTGTACCGAGCTATGAAGCAGCTGGATTTTGAATGGAAGGTAGGAAATCACAATGTACTAAGGCTGTGTGAAGAGAATTTTTTTATATATATAATAAGTTTTCTAAGCAGTTGAGTATTGAGGTCCACATAAAGTTTTTTGATTTAGAAATAATTGTAGTGGACTCATGTTTTGATAGACATGGTTCATTCTTTTAAACTAGATAACACACTATCAAAACATAATGAAGAAAGGCTAAAGGACTGTTGATGCTGGGAACATATTTTGAGTCACAGAATAGCATTCTTGTCCAAGTAATCAAAATTATCTGAGAAAACAGCCCACCTGTTTGATAGCAACATTTCTGAAATCTGAAATCTTGAAAGGCAATTTCTTCTCACCTTTTTCAGGGTGTTTGTTTTCTTTTCATGTTTTTTTTGGCACACGTGGTCGAAGGCTAAGGCAGATAGTGTTCAATATATATTATGTTCTCAGGTTGGTTCATTCTGTCAACAAGCATTTTTCTCCAAGTTGAGAAATTCTCTGATGTTTTTCATTCTTGGTTTGCTAGTTCTTTCCTCACTGCTGGGACAAAATCCCTGACAAAGGAACTTAAGGAAGGTAGGGTTTATTTAGACTCCCAGCCTGAGGATATAGTCCATCCCAGAAGGAAGCCATGGAGGCAGGTGTGAGACAGATGTCTGCCACGAGCAGAAAGCCATGAAGGCTGGTGCTCAATCCAGACTCCAGCATATAAAACAGTGCTGCCCACATTTAGAGTAGATTTTCCCACTTCAGATTACCCATCTAAAAAATTTCTCACAGACATGCCCAGAGGTTTGTCTTCTAGATGGTTTTGTAGACCTTGTCACACTGACAGTATTAACCATCACAAGCCCTCCTCTGTCAGCTTGATACCTGACCATATCATTTCAGATCTGTAGCCTCCATCTCTTCTCCCCACAACCATGGCCATCTCATGGTATGAAATGCATTCAGCACGACTTCAAAGGTCCCGTAGTCTTTAATGTTTCCAATGCTGTTGAGTTTTAACTGTCACACTTGATTATGGTGTATTTTCTTACTATCAGCATACATTTTACTTTTTCAAGTTAACATTTTGTTGCAGCTCAACTCTTTGAATATATATGGGGTCATTTTTAAAATTTAAGATATCCCTTCAACTGTTATTCTTTCCTTGAAGGTGATAAACACTTAATTTTTTATTTTACTTATTTTGTTTTTACAAGACAGGAGAGGGACTCACTGTTTAACTGTGGCTACACTGGAACTCACTCTGTAGACCAGGCTGTCCTGGAGCTCATAGAGATCCGCCTGCCTCTGCTTCCAAGTGATGGGATTAAAGTCATGTGCCACTTTAACTGGCCTATTTTAGTGTTTTGAAATTAAGATAGTTCTTTAACAATTTCATATATGTAAGGAATGAATTCTTGCTATTCTTCTAACTTTCTATTCTCATATGCCTGTCCCCAGCTCTTCCCTACTTGTCCCTTTCCAGATCTATGACTTAAGGTTTTGGTGTGTGAGCCATTAAAGGGAAAAACATTCCAAATTTATCACATAAACATTCAATACATTTTAATAAATTAATTTTAATTTGCTTTCATTTCATTATTTTTACATGATTAAATAAGATAACATTTCTTAAATAAAGTCAATCTCCTTTTTCTGAAGCAAGTTTATTTAGTTAAATAAGATTTTGCTGGGCATAGTGGCTCATGCCTGTAATAAACACTAGCACTCCAAGAACCTGAGGGAGGAGAATTTTTATGGACTCAAGACCCTGTGTGGGATTCTGTCTCACTTTATAAGCATGTAAATAAGAGATGCCAACATTTTAACATATCCAGGGAAAGAATCTAGAAACTAATCTGACCCATTCTGAGAACCAAGTGTTGATGGAAGCCGTTAGTTTGTTCCCAGCTGCCCTGACCCTACATAATCACACAGAAACTATATTATTTGTAATACTGTTTGGCCAATAGCTTAAGCATATTTCTGGCTAACTCTTATATTCTAAACTAACCCATCTTCATTATTCTGTGTATTGCCACATGACTGTGGCTTACTGGGTGAAGTTCCGTCTGGTATCTGTCTCCAGCAGGGTGACATGTCTTCTCCCTGACTCCACCTTCTTTTTCCCAGCATTCAGTTTAGTTGTCCCCCCAATCCCACCCCCACCCCTGCCTAGCTCTATTCTGCCCTATCACAGACCAAGCCAGCTTCTTTTTTCATTAACCAATAAAAGCAACACATATACAGAAGGACTTCCCACACCAGCCCAGAATCTTTTATCTGATATGCAGTTTTACATTTATTTTTGGGACATCATGCTGTTGGTGTTTTATGACTCTACCTGATTTAAGCCACAGTAGGCAGAAGTTTCTGTCTTGCCTTAGTCCCACAGCCATTCAGTGCCAAAGAAACACACAGAGGGTTATATTAATTATGAATTGTTTTACCTATTAACTCAGGATTATAATTAGCTAGCTCTTATAACTTAAATTAACCTGTAATTCTTGTCTATGTTTAGCCACTTGGCTTGGTAGCTTTTCTCAGTAAGGCATTCTCATCTTGCTTCCTCTGCATCTGGCTGGTGTCTGCATCTCTGCCTTTCCTCTTCCCAGAATTCTCCTACTCTGGTTGCCCCACCTATACTTCCTGCCTGGCCACTGGCTAATCAGCTTTTTATTAAACCAATATGAGTAACAAATTTTACAGTGTATAAGAGCATTATTCCACAGCAAGCCACTAATATTTAGCTCTGTTATTCCTTCTGCTCCCTATTTATCAAAACTACTGAAGCAAAGGCTACTAAGATTATTATTAATACTCTAGAGCAGATCCATATCTGGGTTAAAGGCTAGACTCTATAGGATCTGAATTTTTATAAATGGTATTGATAGTGGGATTAAATATTCCAAATTGTGACATAGAAGAATCAAGCATAAATCCTTCTCTCTCACCCATGTTTGGTTTTGTTATTGTTTGCTAAGATGGGAGACATTGTATAGTTTTAAGTTTTTATTTATTTCTGGTTCTAGGTAGTGAATGCCTACCATCTTCGAGTAAGAAGAAAAAACCCAGTGACTGGCACTTATGTGAAAATGAGCTTGCAGCTTTACCTGGTTGACAATCGGAGCTATCTTTTAGACTTTAAAAGCATTGATGGTAAGGAGGTTCACAGGGATGAGTTCTAAAAAGTAAAACTTGGCTCCGTTTGACCTGCTGTCACATCATCTCAAAGACATGATGGGTGGGGTCTTTGAAGTAGACCTAACAAAAATGTAGATGAAATTAAATATGTAGTTTTAGCAGAAAATAAATGGCCAAAGATGGAAGCTGTCTTCAGATGTCAGCATGCTCACTTTCATTTCAGTGGAAGTGCTGCATCCTGTGTTGAGAAGGATTAAGGATGCATCAGCTGTGGAAATGTTGTGAGTGATTGGTTGGTAACGTGTGATGGCTGTGGGAAGGGCGAGATAGTGTCTCTTCCACTCCAAACACCGAACATCACAGTCCTTACTAAGCTTCCGTGCTCAGATCCCTTTACTTCCCATTCTCAGCGCAGCAGCTTCAGGGACGACTTGGACGAGTGCACTTGCTCCATTCACTGTTCTTTGATCTTTCAGATGAGGTGGTAGAGCAGAGGTCTGGTTCCTCAACACCTCAGCGGTCCTGTTCTGCTGCTGGCCTGCACAGACCACGGTCAAGCTTTGATTCCACCACAGCTGAGAACCACTCCCTCTCGGGTTCCCTCTCTGGCTCTTTGACTGGAAGCACTTTGTCTTCAGCTTCCCCCCGCCTGGGCAGTCACACCATGGATTTTTTTGAAATGTGTGCCAGTCTGATAACTACTTTAGCTCGCTGATAATCTCCCACTGGGTTCTGTCTTTCTGTTACTGCACTGTGAAAATCACATATACTCTTTAAATTAGTATCTCACTTCTGGGTATTACATACTCTGCAATATGAATTGATGTGAATATCCCCAGGTGACATGCCGTGTATTGAAATGACCAGAAACACAGAAATCTGGCACTTTGTTTACTTTTAGAACTCTATTATTCTACTGTGCCTATGATAAATTTGAATATAGGTAGTACCTTTAATGGATGAGTGCTGAGGATGTTTGCTAATTCATACTTGTGAGTTCACTACACATGATGAGCACACTTCACTGGTGAACCAGCTAATTTAGGAGTGATGGTACCTTCTTCCCTCATGTGTAGTGCACAAAAATCCAGTTTGCTTTCTAAATTTCAAAAGGTGTTAGACTATCTAGGCACCTAGTTTTCTTGCACAAGAAGATTAAGAAATAGAATGTGCTGATTGAATATTTAAATATAGAAATCTGAAAATCCTGTCCCCCTAAATATTAGAAACCAAATTCTTTTAAATGGTTTCTGAAAATACTGCCTAGTATTAGCCAGAAAGACTGTGTTTCTGTGAACAGGTGCCCAGTATCTAGACTTCTCAACATTTGTACAAGGCCCTAGTTAAATCCCACCACCACCATGCAAGACAAAACCGTGCAAAAATAGTACACAGTTAAATGAAACAAGGCAAAATACCAACAACCCCTTAAAGGAAATTCTATTCTGATCTTCTGTTTTGTGTTTATGGGCCTGGGGTAGGGCTCACATGGGGTGGGAGGGCCAGGAGGTTATGACCTTCTGACGTCTTCACTAATTCACCTGAGCTTTAAGTTGTTATTGATGCCACCTCCTTCCTCAGTAACCATTGTCTTTGTTCATTGGTTTTCAGTCTTTTGTTCCCTTTCTTTAGTCTTTAGTTCAAAACCCTGTTTTGTCCTTAGGACCTTAGTGTACTTCCAAAGCGTATCTGCTGTGACCTTCACTGTTGAACCTGATTGGACAGGGAAGCCTTAAATATTTAAAGTATTTTCTCCTGGAATAAGTATATGTGTTGTTTACATATATACATGTATGTATTGACACATCAGTGCTTTTAATCAAAAAGAACCAAACTTTTTTGTGCAAGTTTTTTTAATTTAAGATAAAAACTATAAAGCAGGATAAAGTTAATTGATTATATTTTGTTTTAGTAAAAGTATTTTTAAATTATGTATAATTTAATAATATATTTATTCATTTATTGTATTTATGTTGTGATTAACAAATCATTGACCTGATTTATCCTAGGAACTATTAAGCTCTTGAAAATGAAAGAAGCATTGCCTTGACAGGTTTCTCTTTACCAAAAATGGTATATTTTCTGTCTACCAAGAAGAGCAGTGAGACTATGAGACTAAGTTTCTCATGTGTTCATGGAAGACAGGTTCATCTGACTTTAAATAGCTTTGAAATCATGAGTTTGCATCATATCACATCAGATAATTTTGTAGTTCTTTTAGAAAATGATGGTCAATACTTATCACTCCAGTTTTCAGTATCAAAATCTAAAGGACCCTTTCTCCGATTTGAGAAAGAGGGTGGGTGTACAATTAAGGTAACTTGTGTTTTTAATCTTTGAAAGATTGCCATCTTGTGGCAATAGATGGTAATTTTAGTAGTTATTTTAATAGCAATATTTAGTCCTGTTTTGTCTAATGTGTTTTATGGATGTGGCATAATTTTGACTTCTCCAAATGTATGCATACCCCTTTGTGTGTGTGTGTGTGTGTGTGTATGGGAGGGAAATACCTGCTCATAATATTTTCTAATTATGAATGGGAGGCTTTGAAATAAGGAAATTATTGGATTCCTTACCTCTAATTAAAATATCCTCAACAGTTTTGAAGGCAGGAAGGTTGCCAGAATGCTCTCTTAGTCTAGTGAATTTGGTGCTAGCAGCTCGCTCATAGCAAAACTACTTTGTTTGAATAATTATGATGCTAGTGGAGAACTAAAAATTATTTACTATTATCTTATTTGTTCCAGTGTTTATTAATACCCAGATTGACAGTTGCTTATTGAATTTCAGGAGAACTGAAGGTCATTTTATTTCTTTTCTTTTAACATTTCAAAACAATTATTTTATGAATCTAGGTGATAGGATAAATTGGTTTGCAGAGAGAATTTGGTGACTCATCTAGCAAAAAAGAAGCTAGAACTTTATCGTAGCATAGGTTTTTTTTGTTTGTTTGTTTTGTTTTGAGGCTGAGTTTCTCTGTGTAATAGTCCTAGCTGTGTCCTGGAACTAGCTCTTGTAGACCAGGCTGGCTTCGAATTCACAGAGATATGCCTGCCTCTGCCTCCAGAGTGCTGGTATTAAAGGTGTGCACCACCACCACCCGGCTCATAGCACAGTTCTTTTTCTTTGCTCTTGGGAACAGAGAAGGAAAGACTGCTTTGCAAATTTAAAGTTCCCACACTTTAGTCAACACTGGACATGGCAAGTACTGAGTTAACATCAGGCTAACCTAGGGATAATTACTGTTAGGTTATAGGTGTGGGCCTTATTTATGTCCTGGAAATGGACTCCATCTTGTTCTAAAATAGTATTTCCTAAAACAAAGAAATATCATGGACTCATTTTGGAAAACATTGTGTTCTGTGCTGCATCTTACAGAAGCAGCACTAAAATCCTTGATGAGTTCGTTCAGAAAAAGCAGGCCACATAATTGTGTGTGGCCCTACTTTGCCCGAACTAGTTTACTGTTTTAAAATATCAGCTGAGGATGATGCTTACCACTAATCCCACTGGGGAGCATGAGGCAGGAAGATACTTTGAGGCCAAACTAGACTAGATAGATATCAAGACCCTGCTTCACAATGTAAACAATAAAGAAGCCTGAACATCCCATAAGGAAGTAGGGAAAACAGCTGTCCCCGAGTGCCACACCAGGCATGATCGTGACACTTCAGACAGCACTCTTTCCCTTTCGCTTGCTGTGGACAGCCTGATTCAGGTAGAGCCACACCCTTTACCATGCAGGCATGCTTATCCAGAGCCCGCAGCTTGTGTCACGGCTTGGGTTTCTTAATCAGACTGATGTTTTAAGGTAGAACTTCTGTTCTTTTCTTCACTCAGTGGATGACTGGAAAGTCTTAGACAAGGTTACTTATGAAAAACCAGAAGAATAAGAGACCGGTAACTTGCTGGTATGGCTCCATGGAGAGCCAGTTTGAATTAATTCTTCGATGGCCACTGAACATTTTCTAAGTACTTTGATTTGGGAAACCAAAATAGAAGCTGTCTCAAATTAAGTCTACAGGGAGAGAGAAAAGCATACCATTCACAAATTAGAGTTTTGTTTGGATGAAGAAACCATTTTAGAGCCCCTTGCAACCTCTGGTCATGTGCAGAGAGAAGCCAGGGGCCCAAGCTAAGTGGAAATATATGTCCTCATGTGCCAGGGAAGTGGCTTATTTAGCACAGTGCAGTCTCTCTGTCATGCAAGTAAGTCTTCAAAGATACTTATATAGTTCTGGGTGTCCTTTTTTCTTAGCTAGTTTGTACTCAGGGAATACAAATTTAATACTTGAGATAAAAGGAAATATAATTGGAAAATAATCATAAACAACCAAATCAGATTTTTATACTGCTTTATCTGTAGTATCTACTAAGATGTAAGCATGCTCAGTTAATGTGGGCCCCGCATTGATTTATAAAATTTAATATCCTGAAACATACCTACCACAGACCCTGTGGCTCTGTCTGCTCACTGGTTAGTAAGTTAAACTAGTGTTAAGTCTCCTATCTAAATGTGGAATCTGTTTGTAGCCCTGTGTGATTTGTGTTGGGTTTAAAGAGCTGAAACTCTTCAGTCTGGCATATCTCTACCTGTTACTTTTCCTTCAGTTAGCCTGGTCTACAGAGCTAGTTCCAGGACAGGCTCCAAAGCCACAGAGAAACCCTGTCTCGAAAAACCAAAAAAAAAAAAAAAAAAAAAAAAAAAAGTAAAATAAAATAAAAAAGTAGGAATCAGGACTTCAGCAGTTCTCAGCAACTCTGTTGAAAAGTTTGGGTGAAAGCTCTGTGCATCTCTGAGGAAGTTCCATCTTGGACTCGGCCTCAATTGTGAGATCCTAAAATGCAAGGGATAGAGAGAATAGCTGGTGCCCCTTTGAGCTCTAAAGTTCTGCCTTGTTTACTTCAGAGAATTCGTGTTAGTGTCCTCTTTTTATGCATCTGTATTTTTATATTGGTATGAAGGTTCTGTCCTAGTTTCAGGCATTTCAAAGGTGTATTCTAAACACAGCTTCGTGGACTGCCGGAGTGCAGACGGCAGAAAAAGTCAGCAAATCAAGAGCCACACGTGAATTTAGCATTAATCAGAAAATGGCTGCTAATCTTGTGGTGGCAGTGCTAACAATTTGTAGTTCTGTTCATGTCCCCTTTCAGTGACCAGTCCAGTGAGCAGGGACAGCAGTCTCTCCGTAAGTCATGAGTGCCAGACGTGGATTCAGTGGTACCAGTCACTTGACCTTTCTTCTGGGCTGAACAGTTCGAGTTTGTGAGACTTCTGATAGGCAAGTACTAAACTAAACACTGGTGTATTGCTTGTGAGTCCTGGAGTGACATACAGTAGTTGTAACTGAATTTGTCTAGTTAATTATAAAAGCTAGTTGATTGTACTAGCTAGATGTAATTATGTGAAATATTTATGATTATATTATATGATTTTTATAAGTATTTATAAGTTATTGAGGGTGCTTGAAATCTAGAAAAATTTATAGAACACAATTTTTTCTTCAATTTTATTTATGTGATTTTGGGGTGTAGGGAGCTTTTTTACTGGGAATTGAACCCAGGGCTTCACATGCGTGAAGCAAGTGCTTGACCACTGACCTAAATTCCCTGCCCTTATTTATGTGATTCTTAAAGTACAATCTCTTTCTGTAAAGGAAAACTAGCCCCAGTCCCTCTCTAAGTTGTGACTGTTAGCGAAAATAGGCTCATCTAAATTTCATATTGGTGACTTTATTTTGTGCGGAAATGATGTGACCCTATTTTCATAGAGCACTCTCTATGAACGACCTGGTCACTACTGGCTCGACAGAGATACTCTCAAGCCTTTTAAAACTTGGAAACGCAACTTAAGTTAGTGAGCTTTAAATCATTCATATAGGTATATGTACATAAACATACACATTATTTCAACAAGAAAGTGACTTCTTATACCAGCCTTTCCTTGAATATTTGTGATGCGGTTGATAGCACTGGTTATAGCATGAGGAACAGGACCCACAGTCTAGACTGGATTAAGTTTTGATTAAACTTCTTCAGCCATAACCTGATAAGAATCAGGTCCCATCCAGAAGTTCTCAGACTGCAGGCCTGTATTTTGTGAGCCAACATTAATGTTTACTGCCAGCCTTGTACAGCAATGCTGTTTGTAACTGCATGTGACTTTTGGTAACTAGAGTTTGTGTCTATTAGCAGTTCAGATTTTATAGAGGTAATTCGCGGTTATTTGGACAAGCAGGGTGGGTCAATTCAATTATATTTAAAGTGCAATTAAGGAAATTATAGAGTATAATATTCTTTCCAGTTTTAAAAAATAGTTAAGGATTAGAAGAATGTCCTAGAATAAAGAAAAATTTGAAAATAGACTTTTTTTTTTTTAAATTCAAGACTTGCTACTACTTTGTTAAAGTTTTAAGGAAAACAGAAGCCTCCTAGGAAAGAAGAATTGCATTTTTATTTTTCTCTTATTAATCTGAATGTGCATTTTCACAGCTAAAAGTCTCTTGTAAATAATATTTGTTACCAAATGAAGCCCATTTTTCTAGATGGAAAACATTTTCCAAAAATGGAAGAGACATAGACCTACAGTCTACACAAAGAAAGAAACAGTTCCTGGTGCCTTCTCAAATAACTGCATAGAAAAAGCATATTAAAGCAAACACACAATCAAACTCCATTTTCTTTTGAGTTTTCTGTTTCCCTGTGAGCTGCCCCACAAAGAGTCACATGGTTTGCTTCTGCCTCTTCAGTTCCACTTGACCAAACCTCACACCATCACCACTAGAAGTTCTTCACTGAATAGAGTTTCTGTTTCATTTATATCACTTTTAAAAGCCACCTGGGCAGACATTTGGCTACTTTCTTGTGCTTTTAAAAATGAATTCAATTACTAGCAATCTTTGTTTTAAAGTATATAAAAGAAAGAAATGCAGAGTTGAAGACCGAGTCTAATTGAAATCGAATTCCCTGTTTGCTCCTATCTCAGCACAGCTATGTGACCCTGTGTAGTTCTCTCTTGTACGAAATGTGGATAATAACCTACCTCACAGATGTGTGTGAGAAGCTGTTTGGAAACCTGGAAGTGGGGTTTATAGTCACACATTCAGCCTCAGTCCTGGCTTTTTTTACTAGACAACCTTGATACCGACAGGATGAGTATCTCGTTTTTAGGTGTCCTATGTAATAAGAGCATAGTGCTAAGAATGTTTAAGACACAGTTCCATAAATTATAGTGTTCTTATTGTAAGATGCTTAAAATTTCCTGGAAACCCCAAATATCTAAATATCAAAACTGTCTTTTGTTTTAGTAAATATTATTATTCAGAATGTTGACTGAAGCTGCCTTAATGTACCAAAACACAGCTTTCTGTCAAGACTGTTCACAAATACCATGGTTGTACTGTTTTGAGTGTTGATTGTGAAGTTGTTATGAACTATGACCTTGAAGGATAGTATTTTGATATTATTTTGGGGGCAATGGTTGTGTTTTTATCACGTTTCACTTCTATACAGTGTTTTTTGAGTGTAAACAATAAAATTGAATGTTGACAGACACTAGATGATGTGTATGGTTATAACGTATTACTGGATAGTAATTACTTGATTTGTTTTTCAGGAACCTGTAAAATAGTCCCATGGTGTGTTAATCCTTAGTGCAGGGCTAGAGTATGTCTCTATTTGAAAACACTGTTAAATCATTGAAATGGGACTACTTTTTACAGTTGGTTTCAGAACAGAAGACAACAGACTCGCAGTGATTTTGCTTAAATAACTATAGATTCTAATTTCAGTTTTATTTATTAATGCATTTTTGTGAGTTAAATGATCGGTGGGAAAGATTTTTCTTCAGTAACCATGTTGAAAAGATTAGTGAATTTCAAAGCATTTCATATTTGCAGGTTCTGTCTAATTAATGTTTGCACTGTATGGAACTCATTGGCAACACACACAAGAGAAAGTGGCTTGACTGCGTGTCCACATTTTCCACAAAATCAAATTAAAATCTGGTTAATTTGAAAGCTCTTTTTGTTTCTGTCCAGTCTCTAAGCTAATATTCTGTGTTTCAGCTGGTCATTCCTGAGAAAGCTTTCTCAGAAAGAACTTGCTTCTGACTCACTGGGGATTTGAGGCCATTGCTGTACATTTTTGTCTTTGTCATGTACACTGTATTTTCAACCTGAGCCATACCTAAGTGTTCTGCTTGATAACAAATTGCCCCAGTTGTAAGGGGTACAGATTTGTTGTTGTACTCCTTGGAAGAGCCATGGGTGTACTTGGGTTTCCTCAGGTGACTGAACACACGTCTTCGAGCACCGCCACACCGCTGCTATAAATGTACTGTTAGTGATTGTTACAGGTACTACTGGGAGCATTGCTTCCTCCTCCTCAACCTCCTCTCCTTTCCCATTTCTGTTCTTTCTCCTTCCCTCTTGATTTTTTGGAGACAAGGTCTCATGTAACCCACTTTTACCTTAAACACCTGATCCTCCTGTGTTTACTTCCCAAGTGTTGGGATTAGAGGCATGTACCATTATTCCCAGTTTATGCCATGGTGGATATTAAGCCCAAGTCCCATGCATGCAAGACAAGCAGTCTACCACCTAAGTGATGACCGCAGACCCTCTTTTTACTTTTAAAATACAAATACTTTGCTGATATTTATTCATTGTGATTGATTTTGTAGATTTTTTTTCACATAAGTATAACATCTGCTTTGACCACATGTAATTAGGGCAGAATTACACACAATAGTTATGGGGGTGTGGGAGAAAGTTGCTGAATTACGAGTGAGGGCCCAGTTCCTCCTTTTCCCACCCCCTCCTTCTGGGAAAGAATGTCAACAATCTACAAGCCCAATCTTGAGGTGAGCAGACATGGCTGTTCTGATGAAAGTGATGGCCACCATGCCATAAGGAAGTACGTACAACACAGCTCAAGTAATGGAGGGAGTGAGAAATATATCCCAGCCACTGAGGACAGCGTGTCCCACGGGCCTGTGGCAGGAAAGAGGGTGCCTTGAGGAGCCCCAGGCTGTGTATATGACCGCATTGTACAGTGTGGGGTGGTGCAGACAAATGGGCGCTTGTTGAGGGCTGTGACCCACTGGAATTCTGAGTAAGACTCTGGAGTTACAAACAGTTGTGAGCTTCCATGTGAGTGCTGGGAATCGAACCTGGGTCTTCTGAAAGAGCAGCCAGTGCTCTTAATCACTGAACAATCTCTCTAGCCCCAGAGGTGTTATATATTTTTATAAAGATTTTATTTATCATGTATACAGTGTTCTACTTGCATGTATGCCTATAGGCCAGAAGAGGGCACCAGATCTCATTACACACGATTGTGAGCCACCATGTGGTTGCTGGGAACTGAACTCAGGAAGAGCAGCCTGTGCTCTTAACACAGCCCCCTGTGCCTATAGTTTCAATCTCTCTCTCTCTCTCTCTGGCTCTCTCTCTCTCTCTCTCTTTGACTCTCTCTTTTTTAGAGTGAGACAGATGGATTAATTCTCATTCTTTTCCTGGTTGCTATCCAGCTTTTTCGTAGTACCATTTGTTGAAGCAGTGGCATTTTCACCAATCACTGTTTCAGGCATCCTTTTTAAAATCAGATAGGTGGTAACAGTGTGAATTCTGGCAATTCATGAGCGTGGAAGTATTTCCATCTT